TTCCAAAAATTAAAAATAGAACTACCCTATGATTCAGCAATTTCAATACTGGGTATATATCAAAAGGAAATAAAATCAGTATGTCAAGGAGGCAACATTACTACCATGTTTATTGCAGTACTAATCCTAATAGCCAGACTATCACTTTACTTAAGAATGCTTTAATCTCTTTTTGATATATTACACTTCTAAACTTTTAAAGGATTTAAAGGTTTTCAGTTTTAGAAACTATTTAATCACCAATTCTTTAAATATTTCATTTTTCATATAGTCTAGTAAAGCAATTAGATGTTCTTCTCAATCCAATCTTCATATATGTATAAATATATTTCATTCTCTATTTATTTGCCTCCTGTAAAATATGTAACTACATCAATTTTGCTTAGTATTCTATTTTATTGGCCTCTTGTCAGCTCAGTGTATTTTAATATGTAACCCATATGTTGTACATTACACTGCTTCACCACATTTGTAATAGCTTACTTTCAATTTGCTTTTTTTTTCAGATATGACTTGAGAAGCTTATAGTTTTTTTTTCATTGCCCATTACTTTGGTTTTCTGTTTTTCCATTGTATTGAAAAATATTTAAACATAAGTCAAATATCTGATGTTTATGTACCAATTTCTTTTGACCCTTCATCTTGGTAGTTTATATATTAGTGTGCAAGTTATATATTAGTGTGCAACATAATATATAACTTAGTTTTCACATATGGAAGATATCATACTCGGAATGTCTCCAGTCTGTATATTTCTTCGCTGATTCCATTTGCCTTGTTGGAAGTTGAATGCACATGAATCTGACATTCTTGTGATTAGTTCTGTCTGAATAGAGCATGTGCTTCTTAAATTGACTACTCCTCTGGATTATTCCCTTTATTTACTCCTGGTCCTGGGAATTTCTCATATTTTTCTTCAACTATATTTAGCATAATATGGATTGTTTTAACTTCTCGACAATTTTAATTATCTGTATTAAATGTTTAAAATATATATTATTTTTCTGAAAAGCATAAATAGCAACAGTTGCATACATTAGTAAAATATGTCTCATAGATTGTCTATGACATAAAACATCATCTCGTGCAAAATCTCAAGGTTTTTCGTGTGGAAGACCTCCTTCCCAATACATCACATTGTAATAATTTGTGAAGTGTGATTATTTTTGCTACTATGTATGTATTACATATGTATTATGCACAAATTTCAGAAACACTCCAATGAATATATAGCCAGAATTACTGTTTTATATAATATAAAGCTAATATGGGTTAAAGCATTTACCTTAATTCAGATTTTTTCTACAATTACCATTCTCTCTCGTTAGCACTTTCCTGATATCAGAAACATAATATGGATTTAGATTTTTTATTTAATCCAGAAGATGTTGAAAATGGTTCTAAATGGAGTTTACATGTGGCCAGATAATACTTGTTAATTACCTTTAACTTTTTTTTTTACATTTATCGATATATAAAATAAACTAAAAGTGTATATATTTAGGATTTAGAATATGATGTTTTGAGACATGTACACATTTTTTAATTACCTCGGTTAAGCTAGTTAGCGTATTTATCACTTTCCATACTTTATGTGTTTGCATGTGAGTGGGTATGGTGAGATTACTTGAGATTTGATTTTGAAAAGAATTTAAGTATACAGTATTATTAACTATTGTCACCAGTCTATATGTTACCTTCTCAGCATTTATTTTATAGCTGAAAGTATGTATAGTTTGACTGATACCTTGTCATTTCCTGCCACATCCTGGCCTGTAATAATTATTATTCTTCTTTTCCTATGACTCTGAGTTTTTAAAGATTTCACATAAATACAAAATCATGCAGTACTTGTTTTTTTGTATCTGGCTTATTTCACTTAGCATGATGTCTTCATGGTTCATCAATGTTGAAAATGGCAGAATTTTCATCTTTATTAAAGATAAATTACATATACATATATATTTATTATAGTTTCTTTACATATTCATCTATATATGCTAAGTAGTAACCTATCAAGTTATTTTTTCTATATTATCATTCAAATATAATATTGTTTTGCATTTACTATTATTAAAATTAATTTCCTGTCTTTAAAAAATTTTCATAAAGTTTATGGGGTCAATTCAATCTGCCCTCTTGATAAAAGCCAAAGTTATATGTCAGTTTTACTAATTTGGATTAGATTGAGATTTTTATTGCCTCAAATAATAAATATAAGCATTAAGGATAAAAATATAATTATATTCTTCATCTTACAACAAAGAAAACTTTGGGTTATTTATTGGACAAAAGACTTACTCTATATTATTATTTCTATTTTTGTGTCACCTAAACATTTATTACACATAGAATACCACAAAATAGGAATAAATAAATTGGTAGTCACAAATTATGAAAGTAAAATTAAGAAATAAGATATACTTCCCAGAGACTGTTTGTAACAAAAATAAATGAAATATGTTTTAGGTGATGCATATTTTAATTTCTCTGATTTGATTATTATATATTATATGCTTGTATCAAACTATCACATGTACTACATAAAGATGTGCCACTATTATGTGTCTGTAACAATTAAAAATAAAAAAGTCTATATGAATATATATGTATATATAAACAACCACGTAACAAGTAAAGTATTAATTAAAATATTTCCACAAAGAAAAGTTTAGGGCCTGACATCTTATGTGTCAAATTCAATGAATATTTAATAAATAATATCAATTGTTTAAAAAAACTTTCAAAAATTGAAAAGAAATTTATACTTTCTAACACACAACATTAGAACTATTATACAATAAAATAAAGTATACAACAAAAATAAAAAAGGTCTCCAGATTGAAAAATAACAAATAAAGATCTTTTTTTGCAGATGATATAATTTTCTATATAAAAATACATAAGTTCAATAAAATACCCCTAGAACTATAAACAAGTTAATTAATGTGACAAAATGAAAGGTCAGAAAACAAAATTAAATTGCAGTTATATATGAAATAAATCAACAATGAAAATGAAATAAAAAAATATATTTATAATAGCAATAAGCAGAAATGTTAAAGTTTTAAAAAGAAGTACAAATATGTTATACTCTATTTTTTAATTTACAAAAATCATAGAACTGAATAAATTAACGTACATTAAATAATCAAGTTTTAAATCACCATTTTTAAGATTAGAATATCTCACAGGTTGATCTACAGATTCAACAAAATATCTTCAAAGTTTTAACTATTTCTAATGGAAATTGACAAGTTCTTCCCAAAAACAAATATAGATAAGCTGGGCTTGGTGGCTCATGCCTGTAAACCCAGTGCTTTGGGAGGCTGAGGTTGGAGGACTGCTTGAGGCCTGCAGTTGAAAAACAGCCTGGGCAACATAGGAAGGTACTGTATCTCCAAAGATAAAAAAATAAAATTAGCTGGATATGGAAGCGCATGCCTGTAGCCCCACCTACTTGGGAGGCTGAGGTGGTGGAATTGCTTGAGCACTGGAGTTTCAGGTAACAGTGAGCTTTGATTGATCCACCTCACTCCAGCCCCAGTGGCAGAGTGAGACCCTGTCTCTAAAAAAAGATTTAAAAAACAATATAAATGTGCACAGAATACCAAATACACAAAACAGTTTTTAACAAGAAAAATAAAACAATTTATACTTTTTGATATGAATTCTTATTATCTAGGATAATAAGAATTATTATTTAATATATAATAATATATATAATAATAGAATTATCCATGTAATTAATAGAATATATTTGAAGATGCAGCCGGGTGTGGTAGTTCATGTCTGTAATCCCAGCACTTTGGGAGGCTGAGGTGGGTGGATCACCTAAGGTCAGGAGTTCGAGACCAACCTGGCCAACATGGTGAAATTCCATCTCACCGACAAATACAAAAAAATTAGCCAGGCGTGGTGGTGCATACCTGTAGTCCCAGCTACTTGGGAGGCTGAGGTAGGAGAATCACTTGAACCTGGGAGGTGGAAGTGACAGTGAGCTGAGATCCCACCATTGCACTCCAGCCTGAGCAACAGAGCAAACCTCTCAGAAAAAAAAAAAAAATCCATTTAAAAACACGTTCATTTATGGCAAATTAACATTCACAGAAGTTCCAAAAAATTTCAGTGTGGAAGAAACATCTTTTCCAAGAATGTTTCTAAGAAAATTGGCTATAAACATTTAAAATAAGAAGTCAGATCCCATCTCAAATCAAACACATACTGAAATACTTAATATGAGCTGTAAAGCTAAACGTAAGAGCTAAAATGACAACTTTTTTACAAGAAACACAGAAGTAATTTTTTATAATCTTGTATTCGATAATGATTATTTATTTTTTACATTTAGGTTTGTTTTATTTAAGTTTAATGTTAATTCCATGCTGTGTTTCAGTAAGAACAATACAGATTCTGTATCTGTGGCTCCAGTCAGATACCCAGTAGTACAAATTAGCTTCAAGTTACATATACTGAACAGAAGTGATTGAGCTAGCAGAGGGGAGGAGTGAGGGGAAGCAGGTAGCGGGAGGGAGAAGGAGTAGAAACAAATAATTGAACATGCATGCAGGCTTTTCCATACCACCTGCAACCCTAACCCGCTTCAGTGGGAGAGTAAAAGTAGGCAAGAATGAGCAGCCACGATTGTTGAACTGTTACTAGCACCATGCTTTTCAGCAACATTTCTGTAGAGTTTGAAAAACTTTTTACAGCAAAACCATTTCAAAACTCCCTCCCCAAACAATCTTTAACCATGTCAAGCTAACACCGAATTACTTTCAAACATTGGTATAAAATACGGTTTAAACAATTAGAAAAACTGAAAAATGATACCACTTATGCCTCTATAGTGTGATTAACATCTCCCTTAGACGCTTGCATCATCTAGAAGCATCACCTAATGGCTTTCAAACGTAATTTCCATTTCTAATGGTAATCTTGCCACATCTGGCACGGGGACAATACAGTAATGCTGAAAAAGCCTCTGTACAGTCCTGTTAGTGTCTTAAAGAACCTAAAAGCTGGGACCAGTAAAATCCACAGAAATTCACTCTTGCCTTTAAGAATTTTTGAAAACTGTTAAAAAAAACAAAAACAAACAAAAAAGCAGGGCAGGAACCTAAATTCTGAGGCCAAATGTAAAAGTCAGATTTGGCGGTTCTTAGGGACAATGGGGAGTTTCCAAGGGACGGGATGGGGAAGAGTTGGGTGGTCAGGGATGGTTTCTCTTGTTGGTTTTTATGTCTCACTGATTTTCATCTTCCACGTCCTGCAGCGCTTCTTTATTCTGTTCTTCATCATCACCCTGCATGCCTGAAGTCCACAGTGTCTTTATAGCTTTCTTCACTCAGCATATCCAGTTCTGCAATTGTGTCATCAAAAGCTGCTTTTGCCAACCTGCAGGCATAGTCAGGGGAATTAAGAATTTCGTAGTAGAATACAGAAAAATTGAGAGCAAGACCTAAGCGAATAGGATGCGCGGGTGTAAGTTCTGTCATAGCAATATCACTATCAGCTTTATAAGCCGCTAGGCTGTTCTCCACAGCCTCCTTCCTGTCATTTCCTGTGGCAAATTCTGCCAGATACCTGTGGTAGTCCCCTTTCATTTTATAACAGAAAACTTTGGACTCGCCAGTGTTAGCTGCTGGAATGAGGTTTTTGTCCAGTACATCCAGAACGTCACAGCAGAGTAACTTTAGCTCAGTCTCAATCATTTGCCGATATTCCCAAATAATTTTTAGCTTGTCTTCTTCTTTTTCTTCTTTCTGTTCAATGCTGCTGATTATTCTCCAGGAGGCTCTTCTAGCTCCAATCACATTCTTATATGCAATAGATAGGAGGTTTATTTCTTCAACTGTCAGTTCCACATCCATCCCTGCTACTTTCTTCATTGATTACACCATTTCTTGGACGATACTGCGGGTTCAGTTCCAGAGCACGCTGTATTGCGCAGCCTGCTCGGCCAGCTTTACCTGGTACCAAATCCCCTCGATCATCCACAGCAGCAGCCGCTCTCCCAGGGTCTGCGAGACGGATGTAAACGGATAGTGTCTCTGACTGTCACTCCCCTGCTGGGCAGCAAAAATGGCGGCACCTCAATCAGGGACTTTGCCCTGCGCAGGCGGAAAACTGCTCAACTCTATGGCAACCGCTCCCTGGCAACTAATGATTTCTTAAATAACACAACAAAAAAGCACAATCAAGAAGAAACTGATAAACTTCATCAAATTCAGAAACATTTCTTTCAAACACCAAGAAGAATATATAATCTAAGCTGCATAATGAGAGACAATATTTCAAATTATCTATCTTTTTAGGCTCTAGTATCTGGAATACAAACAAAACCAAAACAAACTCCTATATGTCAATAATAAAAGGACAAATTACCAATTAAAAACGGTCAAGGGACTTGAATATATGTTTCACCAAAGAAGTTATACAAATTGCTAATATGAACATAAAAATATGCTCAATATATTTTGCTATTAGGAAAATAAAAATCAAATCACAATGAGATAACAATGAACAAACTATACTGGCTATAGCAAAGAGACAATAACAAGTGTCGACAAATGTGGAAAGTATGGAATTTCTATGCATTGCAGCTGGAAAGGCAAAATAATGCAGTCATTTTGTAAAACAATTTGGCAATTCTTCTAAATTTTAAACACAGAATTGCCACATGGCCCAGAAGTATTTTTCCACACATGTATGCAAAGGAAATGAAAACCTAAGGCACACAAAGACTTGTATGTGAATGTTCATAGCAGGAATGTTTATAAGAGCCAAAGGGGAATACCATCCAAATATCCATCAGCCAGTAAAAAAAATATGTGTCATATTTATGCAATAAAATCCTTAGCAATCAAAGGGAATTAAGCAATAATCCATGCTACATTGGAAATAAACCTCAAAAATAGTAAACTAAGTGAAACAAACTAGGTTTCAAAAAGAGTACATAATTTATAATTCCACATATAAGAAGAGTCCATAAAAAGCTCATTGATAGAAAATAAACTAATGGATGTCTAAGGCCTGGGTGATGGTGGAAAGTGAATGAAAACAAGATAGATTTTACTCAGGGATGATGAACATATTTTAAAGTTATTGTGATTATCAATATGTAACTGTTAAAATATTAAAAATAGGCTGGGCACAGTGGCTCATGCCTCTAATCCTAGCACTTTGGGAGGCCCAGACAGGCAGATCATTTGAGGCCAGGATTTTGAGACCAGCCTGACCAATGTGGTGAAACACCCATCTCTACTAAAAGTACAAACAAATTAGCCGGGCGTAGTGACACATGCCTGTAGTTCCAGAGGCTCAGGTAGGAGAATCGCTTGAACCGGGAGGTAGAAGTTACAATGAGGCGATCCCGCCACTGCACTCCAGACTGTGCGATGGAGCAAGACTCCGTCTCAAAAAATAAAATAAAATAAAATAAAAAATAAAACATTGATATTTACAATGAAAATGTCATTGTATTATATAAATTATATCCCATTAAAGCCTATCCAAAACAAGCATGCCATAAGTGTTAAAATAACTTCTGACTTTAGGCAACCCAAGTAACAGACTTTTAACACCAAAGTTATTTCTGCTGATTTAATAAATATTAAAGAAAAAAGAAGATACTTTAAATATCACAAGAGGACACAAGTGCGACCAAAAACATTATAGAGGTTACGTAAGCAAAAAGAAAACAGTTTTTAAGGAGTATTTATGGATAGGAACCACCTGGTTTTATTAGAGTAGGAGAGTGAAGTGATTTACAGAAGAGTACTCTAACTCACAGATTGTTACAAATAAGTAATGATGTCATCATAGAATGAGGAAAAATTAATAATTAATTATTAACTAAAAATATTTGGAGAAGCAATCTAACATAAAGTTGGTTGATGGCACCTGTCTCTGCAGTTAGAGTAGCCTATTGCTAATGCAAAAGCTGCACATTCATTGCTTCTTCAAAACCAATCTCAATACCGAAATCTGATACTAATCTCTGAATGCATTACTATAATTTATGAGAAGATATTTGCCTATTTTTTATTACATAACGTGGCTAATGTTCAGTATTTGAATGTTTTTATTAAAAATAACCTTAAATTTTTTATTTAAAATTCATTATGGGAATTAAAAATGTAAACAAAGATATAAAAATTATACAAAAATTCCTGAGTACCCATCACAAGGCTCTAGCCATTTTTTTTGGTCTTTCATTTTCAATTATTAACTCCATTTTTTTTGTAAAATGTTAAAGTGAATATAAAAATCTGTATTGTTAAATTTGTAGAAATTTTGTACCTCTAACAAAAAAAACAAAACAATGAAAATATTACTACGATTCCTCATAAACTTTTTTTTTTTTGAGACAGAATCTTGCTCTGTTGCCCAGCCTAGAGTGCTGTGGCGCGATCTCAGCTCACTGCAACCTCCACCTCCCAGGTTCAAGGGATTCTCCTGCTTCAGCCTCCCAAGTAGCTGGGACTACAGGCACATGCCAACAAGCCCAGCTAATTTTTTGTACTTTTAGTAGAGACGGGGTTTCACTATGTTAGCCAGGATGGTGTTGAACTCCTGACCTCGTGTTCTGCCTGCCTCGGCCTCCCAAAGTGCTGGGATTACAAGTGTGAGCCACCACGCCTGGCCAAAAATATTTTTAAATATATATTTGTGTATATATTTATGGAATACATGAGATATGTTGATACGGACATGCAATATATAATAATTCCATTTTGGAGAATGAAGTGTCCATCCTCTCAAGCATTTATTCTCTGCATTACAAATAATCCAATTATACTCTTAGATATATTAAAATGTGCAATTAAATTATTATTGACTATAGTCACCCTGTTGTGTTATATTAGGTCTTTTTCATTTGTTTTACTTTTTGTATTCATAAACTATCCCCACTTCTTCCCAACCCCCCACTCACCACCCTCCCCAGCCTGTAATAACCATCCTTCTACTCTCTATCTCCATGAGTTTAATTGTTTTAATTATTAGCCTCCACGAATAATTGAGAACATGTAATGTTTGCATTTCCTTTCCTGGCTTATTTCACTTATCATAATGACCTGCAACTCATATTATTGCAAATTATCGGATCTTATTCTTCTTAATGGATATGTGGTATTCCATGGTGTATGTACCACATTTTCTTTATCTGGTCTTCTGTCGATGCACATTTAGGCTGATTCCATGATATTGCTATTGCAAATCATGTTGCAATGAACATGTGTGTACGTGTGTCTTTATGATAAAATAATTTATATTTATTTGGTTATGTACCCAATAATGAAATTGCTGGGTCAAATGCTGCTTCTGTTTGTAGTTCTTTGAGAAATCACCACAGTGCTTTCCACAATGTCTGGACTAATTTATATTCCCATCAGCAGTGTACAAGCATTCCATTTCCACTACAACTTTTGCAGCATGTTACTTTTTTGTTTGTTTGTTTTTGTTTTTGAGACGGAGTCTCGCTCTGTTGCCAGGCTGGAGTGCAGTGGCACAATCTCGGCTCACTGCAACCTCCATTTCCCAGGTTCAAGCGATCCTCCTGCCTCAGCCTCCCAAGTAGCTGGGACTACAGGCATGTGCTACCATGCCCAGCTAATTTTTGTATTTTTAGTAGAGATGGGGTTTCACCATGTTGGCCAGGATGGTCTTGAATTCCCGACCTCATGATCAGCCTGCCTCGGCCTCCCGAAGTGCTGGGATTACAGGTGTGAGCCACTGTACCCGGCAGCAGCATCTGTTACCTTTTAACTTTTTAATAATAACCTTTATAACTGGTGTGAGATGGTATTTTATCCACTATCTAATATTTTAAATAATGTGCAAAAAAGGAAACAAAACCAGGTTATTCAGTATCAAAAGTAACAAAAATTATAGCATATCTGTACAACTTGGCATCAAAGAAACGTTACATTGCATGGTAGTTGTGAAAACATACATGTAGATAAAATATTTAAAAAAGGAAAGGGCTCAAGATGATAAATTTGTGACACTGGATGTCAGTTCTCCTTAGAAAGAACAATATTGTGAACTATTACTTATACCTCCAATAGAATATCAAGGAAAGAACACTGGAACCTAATTGAGAACTCACAGAAAAAATCTGAGGAGCCAAAGGAAAAGGAAGCAAGAGGCCAACTCAGCAGAGAGCTGCTAGGAACCTGGAGGGCCTCAGCATTGCTGAGGACAGGTAAGTGGGAAATGTTTCCGCAGCCTGCATTTCTCCTGTGGACTGCCACAGAGTTGTGGGAGAGCTCCTTTGTTCTCATGAACCCTGACACTAACACGGCTGTTGACTTCAAGAACTCTTGAGGGCATAGCACCAGACTGGGGACTCATACTGTGCTACTCACTTTCCACCAAGATGCAAGTGGTTGTGTCAGGATGCCACTGGGAAAATGCAGGCATCAGGGGACTGACTCCAGCCCTGGGAACCTCAGTTCCCCTATCTCCGCATCTCAGGAGCTGCCGCTGACATTGGCCAGTGCCAGTTTGGAGGGCTGCAGTGGCCCAGAGCTGGCTGGACCCAGGAATGACGCAGTTCCCCAGAAGTTTAGCCCTACAGAGTGCTGCTCCTGGGAAAGAGGAGAGTTCAGTGAACCAAGAAGGCAAAACTGGGACAAAAGAAAATCAAAGCATTGTACTTTCAGAGTCCAAGAGCTGCCTGCTTGGGACTGTGAAAAGTAACTTTGCTCTCAACAAGTGCGAAAACTGTCCTCACACTGCAGATGAAGGGTGAAATGCCCTCTCACCAGTTGCACAGCCTCTGTGCAGTGGCTCAGGCACAGCAAATGAGACCCCTCTTTTCCCTTCGCACACCACTGCAGGCACAGCCTCTACTACTGCCACAGGAAGTTGGGGTAGGTGAGCATCTTGAGCTGTGAGTGGTGACTGCAACCTGACTGGCAGCATGGTCTTCAAGCCTAGGCTTAAAAAAAGGGTACAGGGCCCGGTGTGGTGGCTCA